TTATTTGCTTTTTGTTTGTTGAGGTTATATATCTTGGATATCAACCCTTTATCGGATCTGTCGTTTATGAATATATTCTCCCATACTGTAGGATGCCTTTTTGTTCTATTGGTGGTGTCCTTTGCTGTACAGAAGCTTTTCAACTTGATATAGTCCCACTCATTCATTTTTTCTTTTGTTTCCCTTGCCTGGGGAGATATGTTCATGAAGAAGTTGCTCATGTTTATGTCCAGGAGATTTTTGCCTATGTTTTTTTCTAAGAGTTTTATGATTTCATGACTTACATTCAGATCTTTGATCCAATTTACTTTGTGTATGGGTTAGACATAAGGTATTGCTTTTTGAAGCCACTGGATTCTGCAGTGGTTTGTTATACAGCAATATTGTGCAGCTGACTGACATAATGTGCATGGTGCTCATTGTATGTATTACCCTGTAAAATTTCAGAGTTATTAAAATAGCACTTGAGAAAAATTGAAAGATAGGACTACCTGATACTGAGAGAACCCTACTAATACTGTGGTCATTATTTGGAATTATCCTGCTGTCCACTCTTAAGTACCAATTTTAATTCAGTAGATAGGACATTGGGTATTATCAAATTAGTACCCTGATAGAGAGTTTTCTTGCAAGAATTATTGGAGAAACACTTCTTATTCTTTTTTCTACTTATATTCTTATTTTATTTTATTAATATAATTTTGTATACAAATAAAATGAATATTTCATATACAGGGAGAGTATATGCATAGCAGTATAATATATTCTTGGAACCCCCTTCCCAATGCTTGTGCTAGAACATTTTCAGTATTAAGAATCTATACATGTGTTCCTCCTCTATCCTATTCTTCTATCTTTCTGGTTAGTAAAAATAATATCATGCTGAACATAGTCTCTGGATACTTTTTGAAAAATTGTGTACCCAAGATTAATGTACATTGGGTTTTTTTTTGTTCTACTTGTTTGTTTTTGTGGTTGTGTAATATTTAGTTGTGTTTACATAGCATGCTTTATTAATAGTTTTCTTGTCAATGGATATTCCCGAACTACTTTCCTTGGGTGCAATGTTGAATGAAAATGGGGATGGTAATGTGGAGAAGGAAGTATAATTGAATTTATTGGTTAGTAGCATCCTGTTGCAATGTGCAGGACCATGGTTACCAATTCCAGGATACATGAATTATTCTAATAAAAGTTCTTGGGTTCATAGGACACAGATTTTGTGTGCTGCATTCTCTCACATGATAATAAACCTAATAAAATTGCTGCCAGAAACAAATAAAAAATCCAGACCTGGAGAGATTACCTACATTTACCAAAAGAAACAGACTAGCATTTATTTAATACTCTCTAGGTGCACAGGACATCAAACTTACTCCTGGTACAGGTGTGGTGAAGAATTCTTAATGGGTACAGAATATGGGTTAATATTTATACAATTGTGGAAGCTATTTTCATCTTATACTCCCATAAAAACATGATCTTTTCCAAAAAGACAGCTTTAAAACATCCCTAATCATTGCCACAGTGCCTAACAAAGAGAGGGAAGAAAAATGCAAATACTTTACAGAAAGATCAAGCTCAGTTTAAAAGGAGAAACAATGAGCTCCCACAAAATTTTGCCATTTCTATTAGCAAGCAAGATGGAAGACTGATATTTTGAAGAGCACATTAGGAAGCAAAATCTACTGTAGAAATCAACTGAAAAACATTCAGGAACAAAGACTGCATGAGAGAATGCAGAAAACTTTTCAGTAGTTAACAAAAGAGTCCTGAAATAATAAACACATCTCCAAACAAGGTAGTCTGGGGCAAGATAGCGTCGGATCCTCTGTAGAGGATCATTTTGTGTTCATTAATAAGAAAATCGCAAAGTTCACAGAAAGAATTATAAATAGTTTTTATCTGATGGAAGTAAGATTGATACCATAATCCCTCTGTATATCCCTTATGGTCTATCACAATTACACTTTAATTCCAAATATCAACTTCAGTCACTCTCAAAAGACACTTCCTTCGCCTTCATAAACCGTCACATTAAAAAAGAAAAGACTAGATATAGGCACATGCAAGGGCTGAATGAATACATTCTGATGATTAGAGTTGAAGTTCTGGTGCTCAGTGTGGAGACATACTTAGTAAGTGTTGCCTTCTCATCTAGTACCAGGCCTACGAAGCTTAATTGTCTCTGATGTGCTACAAATAACATCAACACATAGTCAGGAGCAGAAGCCACAGAGCTTCAAACCATGGCTTTAGTTTTTCTTCCACATCTTGCTGCCTAAATGCCTATTCTAATTGTTAACACTGACTAAAAATAAACTGTGGAGATACTTTGCTCCTACATCTGTTTGTCTCTTCAACTTGGGTAGTTGAACGGCCACCATGCCCATTAAGATGAAGTCACTTCCAAAGACAAAGGCCATACCTGAACCCCAACTAGTTATCTCTAGTCTGTTAGTCATAACACAGATTATGATGGATGAGAGCACAACCACAATCATTAAAACAAAGTCCAATACCTGCTATATTGCTCTTAGATGCCCGCATCCAGAGTTGAGCATCACATTGTATATCCTTTGCAAAGGACAATTAAAGGTCCTAAATATATAAGGCGTTATTATACCAAGGATGCTGTTAAGCTGCCAGTTGTCCAGAGATGACTTTAAATTTATCTGGCCAGATTTAGGATGTTCCTGATCATTGCTATTAATATTGATGGGACACTCCTGGTGTATGGGTCTGTGGGCAGGAGACATGTGACAATGCACTGATGTGGGATTACTGTGACAGGTTTCCAAGGGAGGCTTGGAGATCACCTTTCCTGGAGGTTGTTGACAGACGCCTTGCAGTCTGGTATAGTGAAAAATCTGTCCTCCTCCACCAGAAGTGATGACCTAATGTCTAAAGGTCCCTCCCAAGCCTATGACAGAGAACTAATGACAGTGCAGAGAACAAAACAAATACTTATTTCTATCCTTGAAGCCATTCTATTACCTGTAGTAAAAAAGTAATCGGAGCACCTGTTATATGAATAAATTCGATCACAGTTAACTAGGTTGTATATTGCATGTAGGTAACCTTATAATGTACTTGTAGTTCAAACTACATTTAAAAAGATGGAAAACAGATCTCATGGTAAAAATCTAGTTATAATGATTTCAGTGTCTTTCTGTGATAATAACTTTACAAGATAAAACACTGGATTCTTGGCACATGGGAGCAAGTGCACCAGTCTTCCCTAATAATGCCTTCCCTTCCCTGTACTTGACTTAATAGGAGGATCTGGTTCTACTTTGTTTTGGCCTCACATTTCACCCACTATAGAAACTTTTAACAGCAGCCTTTTTAAAGAAGCACTCACCACCCTACAGCCTCCCACTGTTTCCACAACTCAGATCTTTCATTCTCTCCTTTCCTTTTGACCATTTGGATTCAATGGGTTTTTATTTTTTATCACTTTGAAAGCATATTATATTGTCTGGAAAACAGGTACCATGCTGACTTCACTTTTGCTGAAATACGCTATACTGCACTGACTCCATAGACGTGATGCTGGGAAATCACCTTCACTCTCACTGTTTCACACAAACCTTTGCAAACTACAGATCAAAACTTTAAAGCTCACTTCCTGATTTGCAGCAGTTCTTTGAATGTTTTTTGAGACTCAAACATGCTGTTGCAAAGGAACTGTGAAGCTTCTAAGGTTTGAAAAGTGACAGGGATTCACTTCTTTAATGGAGCAAATTCAAATGTGCAATCCCAAGCTGGTAATGCAGGGTGTCACATTTCCCTCAACCTGCCGGGAAGCCTGCAGGTGTAACCATCCTGCCATATGCCTAAATGAGCACAACTGCTCCTGCTATATGCTGCAGTTAGGGGCTTATCTCCCGGTTCCATTTGCTTGCTACAAATCGTTTTCCAGAAACTCATTTGGAAGGAGGCACTGTAATGCAATATTTCTGCTTAATTTTCTTCTCATTGTGAATCCCCTGATATTCTCGACCATTAACAGGTAGACCATGAGTCATTCCCATGCATTTAACGCAACTGCATTACATAAACACAGACCAGAAGCCATTTCTCAGCTTTCAGAAGAACACTCCAGATACAGCCTCTCTTGCTGCATCTCATCTTTCACCTCTCATCTCAGTTTACACAGGCGATAATAAGACAGCAGTAGTTCAAACAGGATATTGAGAGTCAGAAGACCAAGAACAGTAATAGCTTGGTCAGGTGCTTTCAGTGTGATGTTATCTAAGCTTTCTAATTTGGCAAAGCTTCTGTGCTCTTATCTGTAAAATAAGGGAAAAATTGGGTTAGTACGAAGAATGAATGATTCTGCCATCTATCTATTCAATAAGCCACTCAGCCAACACTTCTCAAGAACTGGTTTACTAAGGGGTATAACAATAAAAGCAAAATACCGATCCAAAGTGAAAACCACTATGTTAATCATAAGACATTCTACTTTTATCAGACATTGTTGGCACAGCCTGGAGTGCAAGTCAAAACCAGCTAAGTAGTCAAGAAGCAGTACCGATAATCTTGTCAAATATAATCATACAGATTCCATTTCCATTTTAAAGCTATATGCATGTATATGCTCCCGATGTATGCATTCTTAATCATAGAGAAAATAAACTGTAAAAGTGTCCACCCAAATGTTCATGGTTATTATCTCTGACTGGCAGAGTTTAAGTCTTTTTTTTTTAATGCTTCTTGATATTTTTAAATCATCTGGAATAAACAGGCATTAATTTTATAATCAGGAAAAAAAGCCACTATGTGTTTTAATGGAGATACCTAGTAAGACATTTTTGCATCCAAGGGTAAATGGCAAGGATAGCTTTCCCAAAGGAAGGGAAGGGTCGGCAGGCAGGTTCTGGGGAGGGTGCTGAGTGGGTGCCCTTGAATCCCTGCCTGAGCCTATCCCAGTAGATGCCCTGTTTGGAAGAAGAACACGCACTTCCCCATGTTCTCCCCTCCTGTCCATGGCAATCGTGACTCGTCCACCGAGTCCTGTTTTCTGCTGAGCTGAGAATGAAATCTCAGAATCCTTCTCAGTGTAATCCTCCAGGTAGCAACCATCAATCAATAAACGTAGTGAGGTAGGCACAAAAAAAAAGTATGAAATTTAGAGAAAATTGTACCTCTTTTCTAGTAGAGACTGTGGAAAAAAATCTAATGTGAAAAAATGATTTTCTTCTTTCAATCCTAGAAAATATAAAAAACAGCTTGTATGAGTTAAATTACGGTTTATAATGGCAGATAATAGTAACAAAGTTATGTTGCTCTTTATTTCCAAATGTCATATTGCATAATATGAAACTGCCTAAGATTCATCAAATAAATTGTAATAAGTACGTCTTCACTCTTCGATTATATCAAAAGAAAATTTAATACAATTCCTTTTTTCTTTTCCTTCACAATGAAGGCATATCTCATAAAAATCAAAGCAGAACCAGCAGTTGGATCCAGAACTATGCTAAGACCTTGTGGGGAGATGTTTGAGTAAATTGAAGCACACATTTTATTTTTAGATAGTGTTAGTCCGTTTGGAAGAAATAGACTGAACATATATGAAACAACCAAGATACAGCATTTCATGTTGTGACAGTAAACAAACTTCACTAAATTATAAACTCCGAAATAGGTATGCAATAAAAATGATCATTATAAGAAATTTCAAGGAAGACTTGTCTGAGGGATAAATCCTCCAAGCAACTCACAGTTGGGCTAATGTTTTAATCCCTTTTGTATCTCCCTTGTACTTAGAAGAGAATCAGATCCATAAACACACTCAGGAAATGTTAAATGGAATGTATTGTCACCCTCTGAACACATGCAAATTGAATCACTGGAATGAATTAAGTGATGGAGATGCCAAGACACAAGAGTTGCAATCCAGATGGGAAGAGAGACATGAAAACAAATAGTGTGGCTGACCTGGGTAAATGCTTGCAAAGCGGTGGTGTGTATGAGGAATATTGGTAGCACGAAGAAGAAAATGAACACTTCTTCTGCGTAGTCTCTCCAAGGAGATTTTTGTGAGATGGCAGGATTCCTCCTGGAGTGTAAGAAGCAGGGAATTTCACAAAAACTTAAAAGTCCCACAGGTGTATTTCAGGGATGTAAATAACTCGATATGACAGGGGTATTGATCAAGTTTACTGTATTTCAGAATGAGCTCAAAGGTTTCTGTGTTCAGCAAGGTGTTCCTTTCAAATTGATGGGGCATGTAAAGAAGTAAAACAAGTGCAGACTTTCATCCCAAGGAACAACTGATTTAGCATTCACGTGGTCATGATGAGGAGCGGAGAGGGGTGGGAAATGGAGGCATCAGGTGGGAGGAGACGTTACCATGGCAAGATCGGTGGGTCCCAGATCCTAGTGCACATCAAAGTCAGCTTGTTTAAACACACTGCTGGGCTAGCACCCCAGAGTTTCTGATTTAGAAGGCCAGAGTATGTCCCTCACATCTGCATGTTGAAGACATTCCCAAGGGATGCTGATGCTGCTGGTCCAGGACCTGTGCCAAGACCCCCTGGCATAGAAAAAAAAACTTAGCAATGTAGGACCAGCTAATGAAAGGTTTTCAGTCTTGAAATCAGGAGCATGGACTGAATCTTATAAATGCTAATAGGCCATAATGTCTCTTAAACTCCATAGTCCTCAGATTTAAAATGTGAAATGTAAAACAGAATGAGTTTATATTTCAGAAATAACAATTGTCAAAAATGTAAAAGCCCATGTCCTCAAGTTTTAGAGAGGATATGGAAAAATGGAAACTTCCATACACCGCTGGTAGAAGTGTAAGTTCGTATAAAACTTTGGAAAGATTTGGCAATATCTAGGAAACAAATAAGCCCATATTTTAAGATCAGGAATTCTACTCCCAGGCATATTCCCCAGAGGAACTCTCATGAGTGTGCCCATTGAGAGCTGCACAAGAAAATTTCATTATAGTGTTGCAATAATTATATATCATATATTTAGCAATAAGAAAATGAATAAATTCTCTGTGGGATTCCATTGAATAAATTTTTAGTTAAAATGAACTAATGATACATACATTAGCACGGATAATCCTCAAAAACAAAATATTAAACATATGATCTGTTGCATGTGTAAAATGTTAATACATACAATATGATGTATTCTTATTAATATAAATGCATAAAGAAATTCTGTATATTAATTGTGAATGCATGCACATATAGTCAGTGTATAAATCTACATGGGATGTCATATGCCAAATTCAGAAGAATAAATACTTCTGTCAACAAGCATATACTGGGGCTTGCATTTTGTCAGTAAATATTTTTTCTTCAGTTAGGTGGTAGATACCTGTTTATTTATACTGTCATCTATATTTATAGTCAAGAATTAGTTTATAATTCCAAAACTGAGTGATATAATGAAAGTTATACTTGAAAAGTAATAATATGATAAGTTGGACCTACTATACAGGATGGATTGAGTGGGAGTGTCAGGGTAAGAGAGGTAATAAAGATGCCTGTTGAGAGGTTAGTGTTCAGATTTTCTTTATAGTCACTTGCATTTTTTGTTACTTCTATCACCTTTCTAAACAATGTTTTGTACAGTAATCCACTTGAAGTTAATTGTCAGTGGACTATTTTCTCAACAGCTTATATAAAGTTAAAATTCATTGACCTTTTTATTAATAATCAGCCCCATTCAACTGAAATCATATTCGATTAACTGATAAAACTGACAATGCTTAATATCTTAATTGGGATAGAGGGGCAAGGATGGAGTAGAGGGAAAATCTCAATCACATTTGATTCTATAAAGTCGTTTGCTGATAATAAATTAAATATTATCTTAAATGTTCAGTAATTTTCCTCTGCATAAGCATATCCAGCCAACATGATAAAAAAATAGCTTTACTTGTATAATTGAATTTATTCTCAATTTGTGGGTTATATTAATATCCTGATAACTATCTTTGAAACAAGTAAGACATATAAGAATCTCTAGGAAGAAATGAAAAATATTTCAGTCAATGAATTACTTAATCAGTGTAACTCCAAATGTTTCTACTCTTATGCCTTCCTATAGTCTCATTATTGCTACTTCTAATGGCTTTTGTGTATTATGAGTCATATTAAGATTGGTAACTACTATGTAATCAGTTATCAGCATTCAATAGTTGAATTAATTAAAAATGAAATCAAACAGAGGGACAGTTAAGTAACTGGTTTATATTCTGGATTAATGTCACTGAAGCTTTCTTATCAATATCAACTTTTCCATGTCAGGCCGACTCCTGCATTAGGGAAAATAACTTTCTTCTCTTATTACCTATTGGTCAGGTGGGCGGTGGTGTCATTTTTATTTCAAGTCTATCAAATAGAGCATGAGAGGGAGCCAATTTTGTTTTATATAATCATATAATGCATTTCAACATCTGGCATAAGTTTCTTTGGAACCACCAGCTCTTTGGGTTGAGTTGCAGAGTTCCTTCTCTATTTGAATTTCCTCTGTGATTTTAGAAAAAGTCCAAAGTGGTGAAGATGTATGTCAAAATAATTTCAGTAATGCCGGGCAGCTAGTGAATGTTTGAAAACTCTTACTTCAGTGTGACCAAGTGAAATACACTTATGGTATTATGAAAAATGATGACGATGGCAATGATGGTTTGAATGGTAAAGTTGGTAACTGGGTGTCTAGGCCAAATCGAAGACTGGTTAAAGTACAGACTTTAACTTGACCAATTCTTTATCCCTATTTTATAAAGCAGATAATTTAAATAATTGTGGATGAATAATGAGAAGCAAATCCTCCTACTGAGCAGAATAATGTGGCAGCAAAGGGCCTGGACACCTGGACCAGGTCCCACTGTTCAAGCCCCGGTTCCTCCACGTAGGCTGTAGAAGCCTAGGCGTGTCATAGCCTTTTCATGCCTTAGCTGCTTTGTATGTAAATATGAGAATAACAATAGCACCTAGCATATGGGATTGATTAGGAATTAAATTACTTGATAGCTACAAAGTACATTAAAACACTGTCAGTAATTACATATATATGTTAAAAAAGTAAATTGACATTTAATACAAATAACCAGTATGGATAAAACTAGTGTTGAGATAATGAGGCCCGTTACTGAACCTTATTGAGCTCTCCATACTCATTTTTCATTTGCTTTCATGACTCCCCTTTATTTGCTGCTGCTTCAGATTCGGATGTAACAGATTCGGACTAATGATAAGTAATTAAAGGGTAAATAATTACTAAATAGCTACATTTTTTTTGCCTGATAATATTCCAACATTGGTGTCTACCAAGTATAGTTAATTAATGATTCTCTCTCCATCATAAAACATGTGATCAAAAGTAAGTAGACAGGCATTTCTTATCAGGTGGGAACACTAAACTCGTCACCTACTTAATTTTCTTAAATGAAGGAGTCACCAAAATTGTACTCTCCTTAACAAAGTTTTCCCTTCTATATATAGGAGTTCAAGTTTTAGAGTTTCAGATCCCCTCTTATGCTTGGGATTTTAGAAAAAGTCCGAAGTGGTGGAGATGTAGCAAGGGGAATTGTGCAGTCAGGTGGAACGCATCTATATTGCTGAGTTTATGCTTAGAAACTGACCCTTCATATGGCATCACGGACCATCTTTGCCAACCAGAGCTTGACTCGGACTTGCAGGAATGGCATCCAATAGTTTCTCAATAGTTTCCTCAATTTCATGTTGTAAGAACTAGTAAGTATTCAGTCATAGTTATGTGCTGATTACTGTTAAATTAGTTCACATATATTAAATCATGTTTATTTTCACAAGAACCTTTTGATATGTCTATGATGACGATTCCAGTTTTACAGATGAGAAAATTGTGACAAAAAAACAAGTGTAGTAACTTGTTCAAAATTGTGGAGAAAGTGGCAGACCTGTCATATTAACCTCAGCAGTTCAACGTGCTTTTCACTATTAGAGCATAGTATCTATCTCTCCCACATTCCATGCATCGGATTTAAAATGCAACCAATAGTTAACTTCTGAAGTGGTTGCACCACAAACCATTTTTGGGAGGTGGCGTGGTAGGACTTGGTTGAAGGTAGGTGTATACAGTTATTAATATTCCTAACATCACAGTGGCACACAAGATCAACCTCGGAGTCAATGTATTTTATTTTCTAACTCAAAACGTCAAATAAGGCTTGAAAAATGTAGTAAACGTATTTACACGATACTATTTTCTTTTAGTAACTTTTCAATTTCATATTATTGATCCCTAAGATATTATACCCTCTTTTAACAACCTATTTTTATTACTTTAAAGACTTGAGGATGTACGCTTTATTGCATTACCAATCAATATTAAAAGCCATAAAAGTGGGTTTTCTTTAAAGTGTTTTCTTTAAATGAGTAAATCAGTCAAGTATCTATAATGTGAAACATCTGTTGGAGACAATGTGGTTCATAAGCTTTTTTTTCTTTTTAGCTTTTTGAATACTTTTAGAATTTTATTAGAAGTTTTCTTAAGCACTTCACTACATGCATTAGTATCAACTATAAGTCTCTAAAATTGTACTTTCCTTAAAAAATGTTTGCCTTCTGTACATAACAAATTGATAAAATTTTAGAGTTTCATATCCCCCCACCCTCTTATGCTTGGTACAGTAAGGGGAATTGTGCAGTCAGGTGGAAGGCATCTATGTTGGTATCACCTATAAGCTGCTATTAGTAACTCGCTGTCTTTTCTGTCTTTTCATTAACTTGTATTCTTTGCTATTTCTTCATTCTTAACCCATACTAAGTTATAAAAGCAAAATGATTAAGATATCTTACAATAACTCACCCTTGTCCTTACAAAGAAATCTATTATATGAAATGACATATTACCATTTTAAAATACTTCAAATATACTCTATAGCAAAAAGTTTTAAGAAACATTGTCATTTTTCCCTTTTCCTAATTTTTGAAGGATATAATTTTAAAACTATGATTTTAAGGCTAAAAGTGACCAGAGGTACCTAGACTGATCCTCTGATTTTTCAAAAATGTGGAAACCAAGTGCAAATAGATGAGATATTAATTACTGCTGTTATATAGCTTGTTTGTGATACAAATGACAGACTTGACTGAAAGATGTCTTTTTATATTCACACCTGGTTGGCTTTTCTAATCCACCATTTGAGAAGAAATTATTAATACATTTTCCATGATGAAATACATAGTTGTATAATATTCTCTAAAAATGCTAAAAGCATGCTTTGGGATAAGATAAAAAAAATTTGAATTAATGTAAGTTTTTCCAATTAGCTCAGGGAAGTTAATCTCAAAATTTCTCAAGGCAGGTACTGCATGCAGGGTTGCAGTAAACATCATTCTTATATTCCGCAAAACACATCACTATCTTTCTATCATAGAATGTTTTTCATATGAAATGTACAATCAGAAGAAAAATTACTCGTTATTGAACACAAACACATTATTTAACTAGTTACTTGAAACATTGTGATTTTCCCTTAATAGTAAACATTGTTTTTATATACATAACACACTTCACTATTCT